CAAACGTGTTTTGTGGGTTTTCCTGTTTGATTCAGTATTAACCGCCTCTGTTGTGTAACATTGCCACACACCCAGCAGCCGATAACACCATGTGTCTCTTATCTAACTGCTTTTGTGGGGTAAGGGGCAGGGCACAGCTTACAGCTCTCCCACAGTGTGTGGGCCAGGCCTGTGGGCTCAGAGGTCACCTCAAACTCAGCGGGGCGTTGTGGATTCCTTTCCTGGGCGCTGAAGAAGGGCCGCTGCTCTCTGCCAGCCAGCAGGACAGCCTCCCTGACCTCGGGCCCTGGAGGTGCCCTGAAGGGTGGAGCTGACCGAGGCAGCCTCGCCCAGGATGACCCTCCTCAGATGGCTCCCGTGACACCCCTTCCCCTGGATGCACTCTGTAGAGTAGGAGCGAGTTGAGACTTTCCACAGGTGCCAGGGACAGGTGGCCCCTGTGCTAAGAAGCTGCGCTCACTGTGATGCCAAAGGCATACAGTTCTAATCCACCAGGTGCTTTGCAGGAGAAACCTCGCTGAGATTCACAGGTTCTGGAAACCTGCTGGAAGGTCTCTGTGGGTCGGTTCTGACCCGATGCCACACAGCAGCCACCACCCAGGGGAAACAGTTGTACAGGGGGTCACCAGACACATGCCCACCACATATTGCTTCCTTTCTCTCACAGCAGCCTTCTGGGGGTGTGTGTCCTGAGGCCTGCTCACCGGTGCCTCTGGCAGTGACCCCTGAGTTTCCGCAGGCCTATTCCCCTCGCTCATTGCTCAGTCTCCACCCTGGACACCTCCACCAGCTGCGGCCGCGTCCCCCTCACCCCTCCTGCTTTACCTCCCTTTCTCTTTCCCCTCCGACTTCTTTGCAGGATTCTGCCAGACAGCATTTTATTATGTTTTTTAAACCCCTGTTCCAGGTTGTGTGTCTTGTTTTAAAGAACAGTTGCTCCAGGTGGATTCGTTGTGACGCCACATCTGGGCAGTGTTTCTGTCTGCTCAGTGAGGGACTGATCAGTGTCTGTCTGTTCTTTGAGGGTCTGCTGGAGGGGCCGGTCAGTGTTTTCTCTGTGAGGGGCTTCTGGAGGGGCTGGTCAGTGTTTTCTCTGTGAGGGGCTTCTGGAGGGGCTGGTCAGTGTCTTCTCTGTGAGGGTCTTCTGGAGGGGCTGGTCAGTGTTTTCTCTGTGAGGGGCTTCTGGCAGGACCTTCCTTTGCGGGTTCTTCCTTGTCACTTTTGCACAGACCATGTGCTTCTTGTTTAATCCGCACTGACTGGGTCTGCAGTTCCTGGACTGCTCATTTGCCAGCCGTGCGTGTGAAAGGGGATGGTCCTCTGGTTCCGTCTGACAGCCAGTTCTTGTCCTTGTCCCGCTCTCTGAAGTAGCCCCTCACCGGGGTCCAGTCCAGCCGGACAGGGCCGCGGTCTCGCATTTCCTCTCCTGTGTGCTGAATCCACGTCTGGGGTTTAACCAGATCCCTAACTCACCTGCTGAAAACGTGGGTGCTGATTCAGTGCGGGGCTGAAATACAGATTCTCAGCGAAAAGGAGCAGAAATGAGCCCTGCAGAGCCTGGGGCCGCCTTGGAAAACTTGTGGCTGTTGCAGTGATTATTTTTCTGAAGTTTACCCATATGGAAAATTCTCGTTATCCTTCAAATAGTATAGCTGTGTTTCTCCCTCTAACCTTGCTACTAAATGCATGACAGACCATCTTACTTATTCTCTGTCTGTCCCTCTTTTAGTTTTTTATTGTAGTGATCCTCTGCCATGTCTATTATCTAATTTTTTATTTTAATGTATTTATTTTTCATTTCAGTGAACATCTACATATTATCTAATTTTTAAAATTTCAGTCATCTCTGTGGTACATTCTAAGAAATTTTTTTTTTAACTTGAAATCCTGATGTCACAAAACAATCTCACCTTGGCCATCACGTTGCTTCTTTTTAAATGTATCCATTGAAATATCACTTTCATTATTTAATCTTCACTCACACAAGTTCTTCGGGGTACTTTTTCAGATCATTTGACTTTATTTGGCAATATCTTATTTCTTCTATTTGTTTTAGGGAGCCCTGGTGGCCTAGTGATTAGAAGCTGTAACGCAATCCCAGTGGTGCATGGTTTGAATCCACCATCTGCTCCGTGGGAGAAGGATGGGCAGTCTTCTCCCGTGTGATTTACAGTCTCTGAAATCTGCTGGAGGGTCGAGGGTCCACTGTCAGGTCTGACTCCACTCAAGGGCAAACAACAATAACAACTTACTTTAGATTCTACTAGGCCTCTTTAGGGAGCGCTGGTGGCCTAGTGGTTAAGAAGGTGCACTGCCAACCCAAAGGCAGGCTGTTTGAATCCACCAGCTGCTCTGTGGGAGAAATACTGATCATCTCCTTCCTTAAGATTTATAGCATCTGAAAACCCACTGGAGGGCCAGCTATGAGTAGACGGTGACTCATAGCACCTAACAGGATGGTTCTTTTAATTAGTAATATGCCACCTCAAGCTATTACAGGCTTACCAGTCCCCCCACCCCAGGCTGCTGATTCGGGGCTCCTGAGTGACCTGGGTTGGAGATGCGTTCAGAAAGGTGTGCCAGCGTGGTAACAAACTCTCAGGACCACGATGGTTAACTCTTCGGCCCAGGGCGTCCGGGTCATATGTGATGCGTGCGTTATAATCCAGAACCCAAGTAAGGAGAGGTGTTGACTCCTCTCCTCTGTGCGTGTGTAGTTGGCATTATGTGCCATTTAGTCGGTTACAGCTCTTAGCGTCTCGGAACAGCAGATCTGAACGTGCCCTGCACTACACCGTTTCCACATCCCTGCCATGCCCACTAAAGTCCCGTGTCAGCCTAGCCCGCTACGGCCCTTCCTCGCATGCTCTCCGCTCCGCCTTTCCCAGCACGATGTCTTTTTCCCCAAGGACTGTTCCCTCCTGACCACACGCCTACAGTGTGTGAGAACAGGTTTCCCCACCCAGGCCCCTAAGCAGCACCTTGGTTGCACTTAACTCCAAGACAAATTTATTCTTTTGGCATCCATGGGATATTCGGAGCTCTTCTCCAGCACCAAAGTCAAGAGCATCGATTCTTCTTTGGTATTTTTATTCATGATTCAACTTTCAGATGCATAGAAAGCAGCTGACAATATCTTGGTTCAAGTTAGACACACCTTAGTCATCAGACAATACTGCTCTTTAGGACTTTGGATGTGTATCTGTCTAACTAACTATTTACCTCTCTTTGTGTGTGTGTGTGTGTGTGTGTGTGTGTGTGTGTGTGTCTGTTGTTGTTATTTGCCATCAGTTGACTATAACTCATAGCAACCTTATGACAATAGCTCTGAACCCTGCCACTCTCACTGTCTTGGACACACCTGCCCTGCATGGATGGAGCATGAAGTTCTCTCTCCCCTGGAGCTGCTGGTGGATTTGAACTCTTGGCTGTTAAGCTAGCAACAGAGTGCTGAACGGAGGCACTACTGGGGCCTCTTGAGAGTCTAGTTTCCAGCTATTTCCATTTTTTTCTTTATCGTTTTCTTTGCAAACCAACATAACATTTAAGGAAGCATTTTAAAGCCCCACAAAACGACTCCACCTTCATCACTCATTCACATTCCTTACTTTTGTTGGCATGTGCGTGCTTTAATCAGGTAAGAAGATGAAAATAGGATGTGATCCTTGGAGAGGGGCGTCATGCTCGGGAGGGTGGAGGGACAGCACAGGAGGGGAAGACCCTCTATGAGGTGGATTGATTCAGTGACTGGGGTAATGGGGGTGGGTGTGTCAGAGACAGTGCGATTGGCACAGGACAGAGCAGGGTTTAGGGCTGTTGTACACAGGGTCGCTGTGAGTCGCAGGCGACTTGACGGCACATAATGACACCATCATTTGATTAACACTTCCTGAACACATTTTTGTAAGCAGTATCCAGTCTTCCACCTGGTTGACAAACACGAATTTTCGTATCTACCTTGTTCCCAGCTTTACATCTAAGGCTCATGGTTCACTTTTTACCAGCTTGCATTTACTAAAAGCTAAGTTCTCGACATGAGGTGCTTTTATTTCCAGTGTGTAGGGGTGTAGTCGTGTGAGATAACTTACCCAGGGTTACAGAACTAGGTTCCTACCTGGGCTGGCAGCCTGTGTGCCCCCGCTGGAAAGCTCACAGGCTGTATCCCCTCGGAACGCTGACCCCTCACAGATTTTTTTTTTTTTACTTTCTAAGACAAAGTCCAAGAAATTGACTGTGACTCATAATTGTCGATTGTCAAACTTCTTTTTACTGGTAAGACGCTGTTATTCACCATTTTACTGGTTCAGGAGACCTTATGTTTTTCCTTTTTTTATTTTGCGGGTTTGGATGGTTTCTGTCTTTATTTTGTGCTTTACTCCTAAGTTCTGATCTTCCAAAGTGTTTGTTTATGATTTCTTCTTATTAAAATCTGTTCTTGCTCGTCGCCTGTATACAAACATCTTGGTGTTTATAGTTTAGGTGTTAATTCTATCTGTTTCTTCTAATTTTTCAATGACTTGAAATTTTAGGAAGTTATGCAGTGTGTTATCTGACACCCAGCTTTATGCCAGATTTCCAAACTCCTCACTTGAGTTTTGTATCTTTAAAATACAACTTAAAATGTTTGACTACGTTTCCAGGCTGTTGATTTTTTATGTGACTTAGGGTGTGTCCATGTGTTTCTAGATTGTCACTCAGCTGCCTTCAGGTCCTCGTTCAGTCCTTTGTCAGTGTCGTAAGGGGATTAGCTCAAGAAGAGGGCGAGATTCTGGGAAAATGGATTTGGGCTCCTTTCTGCCCTGGTTGTCACCTGTCTGGCTTAGGCGCACCCTTTGTCCCAGAGGGCAGTTGGACACTCCTCTCTGCTTTGACTAGGGTGCCAAGGGTGTGACAGCGCCCGTCCCCACGCCCACACTCCTTCCTCACCCACAGCATCTCAGCACTCGGCGCTGCAGGACACACCTACGGGGGTCTCGTCTGAACCCAGGCCTTCCCCGTAGGAGAAATGCACACAGCATGTAACTCAAGCAGAAACTGTGCTTCCAGGAAGTGAGATACAGGCCCTGAGCTCAGGGGGTAGTGACCATCACTGTACATCGGCCAGGCCAGGCTGGAGACGATGGCTGTGGGGGTGCAGGCCCATAGAGACCACCATCGTCCTTGAGCCTGTGCTGTTCTCTGACCGCCGCAGGGTGCTGATAGTGACCCGTGTCCTCCCCGAGGCTGGGTCCAGAGCACCGTCCGCGGGAGTCAGTCCGATGGCCCCTGGCCCCATCTGCTCGCTCGTTGCTGCCCTCTCTGCCCTCCCAGTGTCCCTGCCCGGGTCTCTCTGGAAGAAGCGGCCTCCGAGGTGCTTTGCCGAGTCCTGCGTTTCCGTTAGCCTGTCTGGCTACTTTCTCATACGTGAACGGCATCCAGGCAGATCATGGCACAGAGGGTGTGTCGTGAAGACGTGCTGTCTTGGTTTGGGAAGCACGGTCCTTGACTCTGTTGCCCGTTTCATCCCTGCCATCTGAGTACCAGCGGGTGGGGGGGCTGTCGCGGCCTCAGCAGTCTCAGGGCCCCTGAAGCCTGGCCTCTGATGCACCAGGTACTCACACAGGGGCCACTCTGGCAGTTCAAACCCACCAGCTGCTCCTTGGAGACAGACGGGCAGGTCCTGCAGTGCTGGTCAGGGCCTGGGAGACCCACTGGGGGTCAGCTGTCATTAGTGGGTGGCCTGCGGAGCCTGGGGGTGGGGGGTGTGAGTTCTCTGTCCAGGAGGACTGTGGTCCGGCAGGGCCAGCCTGCGGGCAGCAGCGTCTGCTGGGCACCGTCTTCTCCAGGGGTGTTCGAAGAACCACCAGCACCTGAGAACATACTCTCAGCGCAGCTTCTCTGGGCCTTGGGCGTCCAGACGTCTGGACACAGGGTCTGGTGGTCTGCGGTGACGGTGACTGACACAGGGACCGGGGCCCCATGCAGCCTGCACACTACAGGCCACATGGGAGTGCTTCCCCCGAATGCCTGTGGGTTATTTGTCCTGCAGCCACGTAGAAGGCACCACTGGAGTCTTTGAAGGCTGGACTAGCGTTTCCTGCCCCAGGAACCAGCAGCCATGTTCCTGGACTGGTTCCCCCCACTCAGTGTTCCCGGGGGTTTTGCCCATCATACAGTGAATCCCACTGTCCCCTCCACAGCGTGTGTGAGCGTTAGGTCCCTTCGGGCCACCTGTGACTCACAGCGACCCTGTGAATGATGGACGTGGACCCTGTCCTGTCCTCACCGTCCATCACACCGGAGTCCATTGCTGCAACCACTGTGCCATTCCTCCTCACCTGTTGGGAACTTGGGATAAAACCCTAGAAGTGGCTTGAAAATGTAGATATGTTCTGAGCAAAATGCCGTGTGGCACTGAAATACAGGAGTGTCCCTCGAGGGGAGACCCTCAACTAGATGGGCAGAGGCGGTGTCTGTCACGGCGGGCTGGTGCAGCAGGACAGACTTCAGGATTCTTGTTCCTGGCGTTGCTGAGTCCTAGGTGACTCCTTGGCACCTCACAACCACAACAGAGCGCTTCGCCCTGCCAGGAGCCCCTGAGGGGAACTGTGCACCCCTCCTCGCACATCCTGTCACATCCAGGAAGGAGAGCGGCTGCAGCCAGCTTACAGCTTGGGGCTGGCGTGGTTTGCGGAAGCGTGGCGAGTGTGACACCATTTTCATAAAATGCAGAACTCATCAAATAAAAATCCTCCTGGTCTCTTTTACTGTAAAGGAGGTAAAGGAAGAGAGTGAGGAGTGAAGGGAAGAGGATGAGAGGGGGGCGTGTGCTCGAGAATCGCTCTTGTGTGGATTGGAAGAGCAAATGTCACTTGGGTTAGTGGCTTGTCCACAGGGGGGCAGTAGGGGTCCTGTCCAGTCCATCTGTCTGGGGCTTTCTGTCCACACCAAGTGAAATACAAAGACCGCCTTTCATCTGAATAACTCACACAAGGGCAGCTTTCACTGCATGGAGATTCTGGGGGGCAGTTTGCGCTGGAGATGGTTTACTGTTTGATGACAAGAATCCTCACCTGAACCCCGGAGGAGACTTGGCTTTGCTTTCTGTACCTCACCCTTCTTGTCTGTCCGTGCTGGCTGCTAACTGGGTCACGGCACTTTCTAGACCAAGACCAGGAGGAACGGCCTGGTGATCACCGTCTGAAAACCTGTGGTTGTTGACAGCTGCAGGTGTGGTCGTACGAGGTCTCTCCAAGTCTACTTCCTGAACCGCTTGCCTCTGGAAACTCTGTGAACTTTGACAAATGTCAAGTTACAGAAAGGCTTCAGGCCTTTTGTTTATAGGGTCACTATGAGTCGTGCTTGACTGAAGGCAATCAGCAACAACAACAAATTAAATTAAGCAGGAGTGGCATCCACTTCCTAAATCACATGACTCTGGAAACTCTATGAATGTTGATAAATGATAAATAGTTATAGAAAGGCTTCAGGCCTTTTTTTAATAGGGTTGGTATGAGTCCTGGTCGACTCCATGGCAATCAGCAACAAAAACAAATTAAAGTAGTCTAATCAGCAGTAGAATTTAAATCTTATCCCTGCTAGGTACAGAGGTACATGGCCATAGTAACATTTTTTTTCATAATTTAAAATGTGAAACCTCAGCTTTTTAGTTCTCCTCACCCAGTGCTGGTTTTTTCCCTTTCCCTTAACTCTTGATGCCATTGACTGTTTCCACACACAGGCCTTTTCCCTGGACCCCTTCAGCTGGGGCATCAGGAACCTTGTGGGTGGGGGATTTGGGCCAAGCTGTCCACTCCGAGACCACAGTGGAGGGGCCAGACGAGGAAGGACGGGCAGGAGGGATGGCAGGGCCAGGAAACATGGCAGTGAGGGACCAGAGACGCCCTGTGGGTTTTAGTGATGTAAAGTAGGCCGAGAGGGACATTATTTCACCTTGTTGTGTAAAAGAATTCAGACAAGGAAATCACGAGATTCCTGGGACCGGGTTAGACCACGTGGAGCCTCGTAGTATCTTCCTGGCTCTTTGTCAGCTGTCCACGGGTCTGAACCCCTCGCTGATTCCTGGGGAGTCACCAAGTCCCCTGCTTTGTCCCTTAGGACGTGGCCGGTCCTCTCCCGCTTTCCCGCTGCCTTCTCTTCTCATGGAACCGTTACTCTCTTTGACAGGCAAACAGTGGTGAGATCTTTTATCTGAAAAAGCAATGGGTCTATAAATAGAAATTTTAAATGTAGGCACCCACCTCTGAAATTACCATATTAAAACTACCTTCATAACAATCCTTGCCTTTTCTTGCTCTTCCAAAAACGCCTGTTGTAATAGTGTCAGTCGAAAGCAAACAGCTAGATCATAAGATGAGTCTTTGAGCAGAGTGGGGGGAAATTTCCTTGCACATCACAATACCTGGTGACTGACACGTCGCCACATTTCCCTGAAATGGATTTACAGAGTGGGGTTTACACTTTGATTTCTTTTCCTGGCCTAGAAAAGGCGTCATGGTCAGGGCCAGCGCCGGGAGAGCATTGGGAGATGTGAAGCTGGCTTCTGGGGACCATTAAAGGTCAGGGGTGCTCATTTAGAGATGACATGATCCTCCCCCACCCCGCCACCCCTCATTCCTTCTCTGTCTCCGATGATCCCTGCTGGCATGTTTTGAGAACTTTGGCTTTTACTGTACAGGACGTGGGGAGTGACCAGGAGATGGGCGGTGGAGGAACCCCCTCTTCTCACTCCTGCTTCAGCACAGGACACAGGAAGGAGGTTTGGAGGACATCATGTGGTCATCTCCCTGGGCTCACTGAGGAAGGAGGTTTGGAGGATGTTCCGTGGTCATCTCCCTGGACCCACTGAGGAAGGCGTGGGATCTAAGTCAGGTGAAGGATAAAATCCGTGGTCACTTCCATTTCCTGTGGAGCAGCTGGTGGATTTGAACTGCCTGCCTTTGGGTTGACCATGTGGTTCCTTACCATGGGGTCACAGAGCCCCGCCCAGCCTGACATTCTAGTTGTTGGCTTGTTTGTGGTCAGTCATAGTCACGTGTTGTCTGCTGTCCCTGTGTCAGGCTCTCCCTTAATCATGGACCTCAGGTCCTCCTCTCACCTGGCTGGTGCCCCCTCGGGGTGTGAGGAGGGCTGGACGAGGCAGAGCTGGGGACACATGGCTTGTCCGTCTGTGTCCTGGGACAGCCCTCCTGTGGGAGGACACATGGCTCTCGCCGCCTCCCCCGTCCCCCATGGACCCCAGGCCTGAGCAGTGCCAAAGACGCTCGACCACTGGGTCCTGGAGAAGCCCCCGCCCTCGGGCTCCGAGTTCTAGCCCCTCTCCTCTGCACATGGGTACATACAGTGGTCAGCCCCAAGGACCCTGGACCCAGGCTCGACCCTCTAAAGCCGCCCCCTGGCATTGGTGTCCTGGCCGAGGACCCACTCAGCTTCTCGTGAGGGGCATGTGTGCCACCAGCAAGAGTGAAAACCAGCATTTTTAATGTGACATCTCTTCCATCAGCACTGTTTGCAGAGGGCCGGGGGCTGCGTCTCCTGGGCTGTAATTACCTATTCTCCGCCGCCTCCCACCTGGTTGGCTCTGTGTGTGGTTGTTTGGGGCTGTCAAGTCCAGTCACAGCGGCCCTGTGAGTGACATGTGAACCCTGCCCTGCCCTGCGCCATCCTCACACGCTGCGGTCACCGACCAGCTCAGTCCATCTCGCTGAGGGTCTCCGTCTCTTCCTCTGACCTCCACCTTTTCCAGCGTCCTGCCTGTTGTTGTTGTGAGGTGTCGAGTGTGACTCGTGGTCACCCTGTCAACAGATCTGCGCTGTCCTGTCCTGTGTTATCCTCAACATTTCTGATATGTTCCAGCCCGTTGTCACAGCAGCCTGTCGGTCCACCTCGTCAAGGGTCGTCCCCTCTCTGTCCACCGCACCTTTCCCAGCTTGACTGCACGACCTTGACCACCAGCCCCTGTGCTCACACACCAGCGATTGGTGAGAACAGAGATTTGATCTCCTCAAGACAGACAGACACATGGTATCTCGCAGGCTCGTGTTCTCCTTGTGTGTGATTGTAAGTCCTCTGGGGTCACACTGTGTCCTGTGTCCCCAGCTCCAGCAGCAGCAGACAGCCCCTCCTGGGAAGTCGGGGTAGCGTGCCCAACAGCTGGCCTGCACCCCAACCCCGACCCTTTTCCACCAGGACCTAACTCCTGTACGCCCTCCTCAGGTCCCTGGGTGCTCGGTCCTCCAGAAACATGAATGTGACTGTGAAGATGAAGGTTCCCCAGGCAACCCTCCCCCCAAAACTCTCCCCCAAACAACCTCCCCCAGGCAACCTCCCCCAGGCAACCCTCCCCCAAACAACCCTCCCCCAAACATCCCTCCCCCAGACAACCCTCCCCCAAACATCCCCCAGGAAACCCTCCCCCAAACATCCCTCCCCAAACAACCCTCCTCCAGGATACCCTCCCCCAGGAAACCCTCCTCCAAACAACCCTCCCCCAGGCAACCTTCCCCCCAAAACCCCTCCCCCAAGCAAGCCCCTGGTAACCATGAAGGAACAAAGTGAGTGGAAAACACATTTTCAAGGCATTTTCAGTCATTTCATGCTTGTCCTCAGGCAAAATCCAGATAGAAGGTTTAGCAATGAAACCTTTGTTTTTCCTTGAAAACTCCTGACTGGCCCCTGAAGGGTCCCTTGTGCTCTGGACCGTGTAGTTCACAGTGTCCCCAGTGAATGGCATCCACCCCGGGCTGGGCGTTCGGTCAGGAACTCTCTCCCTGGGGAGGGAGGTGATAGCGATGGGGCCGCGCTGGCCGTGAGGAGGCCCTGCTCTGGTTCTCAGTGAGCCTTCTCCAGCCCGACCCTGAACTTGGCAAAAGCTCCAGGGACTTTGCTTCTAGAACTTGTGAAGAAAGATAAAGTCACAGCCTGCAGAGTCTGGATTTGAGAGAAGACAAGCGGAGACTGGGGCAGTGTGGGACGTCCTCTTCAAAGGACAGCATTCACCTGCCGGCCTCGTTCGCCTGGTGCTTACTCTCGACGCCCTGGCGGTTGGCCAGTCTGCCCCTCTTCACAGGGCAAAGGGCTGGCCCATGCTCACCGCCTTGGCCCGTCATGCTGGGGGCTCAGTGGGAGCCAGACTGTTCACGGAAGATCTGCCTGCCGATCCTGCACCACTGAGTAACGCACGTTAGCACACAGATTCCTCTTCCGGCCTGGAGAAGGGGGACACGGACGTTCCAGGGGAAGACTATTGTCCTGTCCTTCTAATAATCTCCAATGATCGGTACACAATGGTGACTCTACCTTCTAGAAATTACTCATTTACATTCCAGTAAACACCCTAGATTACGGTATAGAAAACGGCACTTTAATCTCTGCAAAAGGAGTTTGTTTTCAAAAGGATTGAAAAAGGACTAAGTCCAGGGCTCTGGGATGAGGCAACAAAGACAAGCAGATGGGTAACGTGAAAGGGCTTTTCTTGAGGTCAGGGAAGTAAATGCAGATTGTCCTGTGAGCGACACTTCTTTTCTGTGTCGTAGAGAAAGCTGTCGCTGTTGTTGTTAGGTGACAGTGGGTCAGCTCTGACCATAGTGACCCTACACATAACAGATGGACGCTGTGCATGGTCCTGCACCGGCCTCCCCACGTCTGTGCTCCGGCCGCTGTGTCCCCCCCGTCCTGTGCAGGGACCTCCTCTCTCCCTGCACGGCCTCCCCACGTCTGACTTGCTCCAGCCACTGTTGAAGCCACTGTGTCCCTTCACCCGTATAGGGGCTTCCTCTTTCTCGGACTGTCCACTTTACCAGTGTGACGTCTTCTTCCAGGGACTGGCTCCCTGACAACAGGCACAGAGGATGTCGATGATGTTTCCCATCCTTGCCTCTAATGAACACTGGCTGCATTTCTCCCAGAACAGATTGTGGTGGTTATTGCTGGCAAGTTCCCTACAACACATAGCGACTCTGAACAGTGGCTCTGAACCCCACCCTATCCTGAGCCATTCTCACCGTCTCTAACACACCTGACCCCTTTGCCACAGTCACTGAGTCAAGCCATCTCATCCAGGGTCCTTCTCTCCCGGGCTGACCCTCTCCCCTCCCAAGCATCACATCCCTCTCCAAGGACTTGTCCCTCCTGGCAACATGTCCAAACTGTGAGATGGAGCTTCAAAATCCTTGCCTCCAAGGAGCAGCCTGGTTTTATCCTGTCCAGGACAGACCTGTTTGTTCTCTTGGCAGTCCATGGTATGTTCAGTACCCTTCTCCAGCACCAAACTCAAAGGCATCGATTCTTCTTCTGTCATCCGTAGTCATTGTCCAGATCTTGGATGCACAGCAAACAAGTGAAAAGACCACGGCTTGGGTTGACATCATTGCTCTTTAACACTCTGGAGAGGTCCCTGACAGCAGATTTTCCTGATGTAATTTGTCTTTTTATTTCCTTTCAGCTGGTTCCAAGGGTGTTGATTGTTAATCTGAGCAAAATGAATTTGTTAACAACCTCAGTCTTTTCTCCATCTGTCATGATGCTGCCTCCTGGCCCAGTGGTGAGGATTCTTGTCTTCTTGATGTTGAGATGTCATTCCTCTTGAAGGCTGCAGTCCTTGACCTCCAGCAGCAAACGCCCGAGGTCCTCCTCACTCTCGGTGTGTGCCGTTGTGTCATCTGCACAGCGCAGGTGGTCAGTGCTGACATATTAGCAGAGGTCAGCCATTGCCCTGTCCTTAGATAAGAATGCCGTGCCAAGAAAAAGGAGCTGCAGCCTTTGTGAGCAGCGCAGAAATGCAGGGACACTTAATCCTGGGGGGCTGCTGGCCAGGCCAGGCGGCTGGATGCAGGGATCGCGGTGATGGGCGCGGATGCCGCTGGCTCACCGGTCGTGGGCTTGCGTAGGCTGTGGCAGAGTGAAGGGCAGACAGTCTCAGAATTACGTAAGACTCTTGGAGTGGCTGCTGATGCTGTCAACAGGTGTTCTGCCAGGAAGGCGAGCTGTGAGAGGCTCGCTCAGCCCTGGGACAGAAAATCACCGCCTGGTGGATCTGCTTGGAGCGTCTCAATGCACGCCTTTCACGCAGCGTGGCCTGCGCGGGCCGCATTTGGAGGAGAACACGCAGCCTTTCCTGAGGAGAAGGGGACGCTGTGAGCCGCCGTGATGTTGGGTCGTTGTTGGGATTAATAAATGAACGGCAGCCACAGAAAGAGAGTTCCTGGTGTGGTCTGCATGCAGCTCTGCCCCCCACCCCTCTCCACTGCAGGTCCCGTCCCCATCTGATAGGCTCTGCACTCAGCTATGTGTCCCCCTGTCCACCGCAGGTCCAGTCCCCATCTGACAGGACTCTGCACTCAGCTGCGTCCTCTTGCCCATCGCAGGTCCAGTCCCCATCTGATAGGAGTGCACTCAGCTGTGTCCCCCTGTCCACCGCAGGTCCACAGCCACATCATGCCTGGAGCCAGGGCTAACCTCGCTCTCTTCCTCTGCCACCTGGTCGCCGTGGGTGCCCAGGCCAGCCAGCGCCCGGTGGACCAGTGTGATGCAGACGACTGCTACGTGGCTGCTGTGTACGAGCACGCATCCGTCCTGAGCGCTGACCCTGGAGTCCTCGTCAGCCGACAGCAGGCCTTGGAGCTGATGAGCCAGAATCTGGACGTCTACGAGCAGCAAGTGACGGCCGCGGCACAGAAGGCAAGGACGGCCTCACCTGGGCCTGGCGACCGGCGGCCTGCACGCTAGCTCGGCTCGTGGTGACCGGCAGCCTGCACGCTAGCTCGGCACATGGCGACCGGGCAGCCTGCACGCTAGCTCGG